AAAAATCACACACACACCCCCAGGGGGATGGCCACACCACAATCCCTTCTCTTCCATTCTCCTCTCGGGATCTTGGGCATTCACACACACGCGCCCGGTGTGAGTTTAAGACACTGGGTCCGGGACTTGAACCATGGTCTACTACACGGGAGTCCAGCGACATAGCCATTACACTAACCGCTGGTCCCATGAAAATAAATTTTTAAGTGCATTAAATTTATAAATCACATTGGGAAGTATTTAGTGTTTCCATTAACAAGGTACTTATTTCCTCATTCATGTCTTCTTTCAAATCTACCAATACATTTTTATAATTTTCTTTTTAAAAAAATAACTATTGGGGCCGGCAAGTGGCATGGTGGTTAAGGGCGCTGGACTCCCACATGGCTGACAGTGGTTCGAATCCCAGACCTGACAGCTTGCTTTCTCACTTTCTCTCTCTTTCTCACTCTGTTCCTCTCTGGTCAAAATAAAATAAGTAAATAAATAAATAAATGTTAAATAAAATAATTCTTAAAAAAAATACTACTAATAATAACAAATAAAAGAAATCTTTTAAAAACTTATTTTTTGTTTTTATTTTTTATTATTTATTTTTAATTTGACCAGAGAAAGAGAGAAAGGGAAAGCGAGAAGGCAAGCTGCTGGGTCTGATACTCAAACCATGATCAGTCATGTGGGAATCCAGCACCTTAACCACTGCACCATCTGCCGACCCCATATTTTTATTATTTTCTTAAGATAGGTAACATTTGGGACCAGCAGATGGCGAAATGGTTATGTCGGTGGACTCCCACCTAGTTGACCATGGTTCAAGTCTGGACCTGGCGGCTTAAAACTCACATCTGGCATGTGTGCGTGTGTGCGCAAGACGCCGAGAGGAGAATGGAGGAGAAGGGATTGCTGCATGGCCATCCCCTCTTGGGGGGTAATTTCTCGTTTTCTGTCTTCCTGTCTCTGTCTCTGGCAAATGCACGTACCATATAGCAAAAATCTCTCTCTCTAAAAAAAAATAAGTCTATCTAAAAAAGAGTTTATTCTTCGATGTGTTATTATACTTTTGGAAGTGTAATGTCTTATAATGTGTTTTAATTTTGGGGGGGGCGGAGTTGGTTGTTGCTTGTTTGTTTGTTTGTTTTTGCTATAGGATGCATGTGCTCACCGGAGAGACAGAAAGTGAGAAATCGCCCCTCAGGGTGGATGGCCACACTGCAATCCCTTCTCCATTCTCTCTCGGGATTTTGGGCACGCACGCACACATGCCTGGTGTCAGTTTCTATTCACCGAGCCCAGGACTCAGACTGTGGTTGACCATGTAGAAGTCCAGCACCTTAACCACGACATCACCTGCTGGCTCTCTAATTCTTTATCATTGATATATAGGAATGCTATTTTTTGTACACAAGATTGTTTTTCCTGTAAGTGAGATAAAAAAAAAATCACTCAAAAACTCTAAAGATACAGGCTGATTTCATAACCTAGTGGTTAATGGAGCTGGATCCCACATGGTCAACCGCTGCTCATATCTCAGCCCCAGCAGCTTCAAAAACGTGCTAGGCAGGGCCAGCGAGTGGCATGGTGATTAAGGTGTTGGACTTGCACGTGGCCAACTGCAGTTCCAGTCCCGGACCCGGCAGCTTGCTTTCTCACTTTCTCTCTTCTTTCTCTCATGAGCACATGTGCTCTGTAGCAAATTAAATAATAATAATAATAATAGCAATGATAGATTAAATAAATAATTCTTTCAACAAACGAATTGACAAACATACTAGGCACATGAGGGCATGCCCAACAACCCAAGAGGATGGAGAAATAGAGAAGGGATTGCAGTGTGACCATGCTCCATTGCCATTGGGTGCAGGTGTTTCTTCCTTTCCCTCCCCACTCTCTCTCTCTCTCTCTCTCTCTCTCTCTCTCTCTCGCTAGTGCACATACCCACTGGCAATTTAAAAAAATTTAAAATGAAACTCTAAAGATAGAAAAAGTATGTTGGAGCCAGCAGGTAGCATACTGGTTGAAGCCCTGGACTCCTACATAGTCAACCATAGTTCAAGTCCCGGATCTGGTAGCTTGAAACTCACGCCAATTGTGTGCCCAAATCCCAAGGGGAGAATGGGGGAGAAGGACCTGGTGTGGCCATCCCTGCTGAGGGAAGATTTCGCAGTGTCCTCTCTCACTGTCTCTCTCTGTCTCTCCAGTGAGTCCTTGCACCCTATGGGGGAAAAAAACAAAAAACCTTAAAAGAAAAAAAAATAGAGTTAGTATAATACTCTAGTTTCTCTTCAGATCATATAAATCTTTCACCTTTTACTAAAGATTTCCATGGAGAAAGGATATATAGACCTTCTTCAACAATGTTCAAAACATTCCGGAGAGATTTGGGCTAACAGGAAACACCCACACAGAAAAGAGGTGTTTCTGATTCATTCTTTACCTATGTTTTTGTTACGCATTCAAGCTAGGGCCACTGATGCCTTTTCATCGAATTTGTCCCCGTGGGAGAGAACCAAATGCGTCCAGGGCTGCAGGACGGCCACCTCCCTCCAATTACGTGGCTCTGCACGGCTCATCCTAAGTCTCACAGTTCAGGCTAATCATTGACAGAGCTTTACAATCACAAGCTTTTACTGACGCGTTGATAAGGCCGTGCAGCAGTGAGCAGCCAGCGAAGCCAGGCTGTGCGGCCGGATCTCCAGGGAATGAATGGATTTTCTCCAGCCCCGATGAGAGCGGCAGACGCTATAGCTGAACTATGTCCAGCAGGCCCCCGCGCAGATCTGTCATGCTGTCAGCTCTCCTGCTGCTGCGCGCTGTCACCGCTTTCTCCGGAGATGGCAGGGCTATATGGTCTCGAAACCCCACTGTGAGTCCAGTAAACGAAAGCCAGTTGTTTCTCTATGACACTTTCCCTCCAAACTTTTTCTGGGGCGTTGGGACAGGAGCGCTGCAAGTGGAAGGCGGCTGGAAGAAGGATGGAAAAGGACCCTCCATCTGGGATCATTTCATCCAGACGCACCTGAAGAGTGTCGACAGCACCAACGGCTCCAGTGACAGTTATGTTTTTCTGGAAAAAGACCTATCAGCCCTGGATTTTCTAGGAGTTTCTTTTTACCAGTTTTCAATTTCCTGGCCACGGCTCTTCCCGGATGGAACAGGGGCAGTCGCCAACGCGCAGGGGCTCCGTTACTATAATGCGCTTCTGGACGCGCTGGTGCTCCGAGACATAGAACCCGTAGTTACCTTGTACCATTGGGATTTGCCTTTGGCCCTCCAGGAAAAATACGGGGGATGGAAAAATGAGACCATGATAGACCTCTTCAATGACTACGCCACATACTGTTTCCAGATGTTCGGGGACCGTGTGAAATACTGGATTACAATCCACAACCCTTACCTGGTTGCATGGCATGGATATATGACAGGTTTACACGCTCCTGGAGAAAAGGGAGATACAGCAGCTGTCTACACCGTGGGACACAACCTGATCAAGGTACTGTACAGCTCGCTTCTGCCTCCCACTTCCGAATAGAAAGAGCAGGAGTCGAAAGGAAACCCAGGGAAATTGACCTCTGCTTAAATCATTGCCGTATTGAAAGCAGCCAGCTAACTGTAGGCTACTTTGCAAATTTTATCCTCAAATTTTATATCTAAAGAGTGTCTGCCTTACTCATCTAAGCTCTTATTAATGAATTCATCCAATTAGTTCCTGCAAAAGCTACACTCTGAGACTATTTTTAAATCTCCACTTATACAGCAGAACACGAGGATGAGCTTACTTTTTTTAAAAAAACGGTACTCTGCTTTTTAAAATATATACATATATATATATTAACATTATTTATTCATGCATTTTAACTTGGCTAGAGAGGGATAGAGAGAGAAGGAAAGTGAAAAAGCAAGTTGCCAGGTCCAGGATTCAAACCATGGTCACCCATGTGAGAGTCCAGTGCCCTTAACTGCCATGCCACCTGCCGGCCCAAGCATGAGCTTATTTTCAATCCGTGGCAACGCAGTACTGTATACATTTAATTGATGATTTAATTTTTTGATGACGTGAAGTCATTTGAGAAGTGTGTCATGGCATGAGCTTTTAAATATCCGTTTGTGGTTAGTTTTGCTCTTCTTAGAGATAATTAGATAGAGGAAGCTAAATAAATGTTAGCTAACGAATACATGCTAAATAGAGAAATTGAAATAAACATACTTCACACTTGATTTTATTTCTGTTACCTGGAAGAAAAGCTGATAGGAGTGGTTCCGGGAGTTGAAGCAGTTGATTTCAGAAGCTGCACTTTTTACTGGGAAATGTTAAAATGATGAAAACGTTAGTGAGAATGCAAGCAAAATAACAACTGATATTTAGTCTGTGTTTATGACATGCCAGAACTGTGTTGTGTATTTTACATCCATTGTCATATTGGATCCTAACAGCTTATGAACTAGACTCTATAATTATTTCCATTTTAAAGATGGAGGAAGCTAAGTTTAATAGATGAACTTGCCCAAGATTATAGAAAAAAAAGCAAGTCATGATCTCACGTTGTGAACATAGTCGTCATACAGTAATGACAACAAAATTAAATACTGTCTTCATTAAGAACGCTCGAAAAGAGCAATCTTTCAGGAATTTTTCAAGACACTGAGCCTCAGTTGAAGCTACTATCTGAAATCAGATTTAATTTTTTGAGTTAAATAGTTTACTTGGGAAAAATAAATTATTCTGAACACCTGTTACATTTTGAAAATGGAGAAAAGTAAAGCTTTGTTCATAGGATTTCCCAATGCACTAGTGGAAGTAATTTAATTTGTAATCAGCAAATGTTAAATACATCAACATTTTTAAATGTCCAGAAACATAAAACCGAAATGGTACATAGAAAAATACCTACTCATTCTTCTCTTTGATCTTTCTGGACTCTTAAACAAGAGTATTGTACTATGGGTTCAGTTACATCTGCCTTTGCAGTAAATGGATTGTATTCTCATCTCAGGATATTTGAACATCTTCAAAAAAATTTGTAAATAGAATACTTTTTTTTTTTTTGGAGAGATTTTCGCTATAGGGCCTGTGCACTCAACCCCCCAGGGGGGATGGCCATGCCACAATCCCTTCTCCTCCATTCTCCTCTCGGGATCTTGGGCACGCATGCACACACACATGCCCAGCGTGAGTTTTAAGCCACCGGGTCCGGGACGCAAACCACAGTCGACTACGTGGGAGTCCAGTGACATAGCCAGTACGCTAACTGCTGGTTCCCAAATAGAATACATTATTAACAGGTAGATATACTGTGATCTGGCAAAATAAGACCAGAAAGGGGAGAGAATTTATAGGTATTTAATAGCTATCAAGATTATGCACCTTTAAGTTTAAAATGTTCCTTTTATCTAGTTCTATTAAATATTAAGGCAAACTATGCTCATGCAAATTTCTTTATTTTTCTAGCTTTTATTTTTACTTAATTTTATTCTTTTTGCTCAGGGAACTTTGAAAACATCAGATTCTCCCGAAGGCTATAAAGTGAAAAAGTGAAATCTCTCTCTCCCTCTCTCCCTGACAATCTCAACCCCGAAACTACTGTTAATTATTTCTTATATATTTTCTAAAGTTCTCTAGGCAAATACATGCATATGCCTTTTTAAAACCTGTATAGGAAGGAAAATATTCTAAAATGTTGAAAAGTTTCCATTGAAATATGAACTATTTAGAATTTTCACCCCCCAAAAAATGTTTCGGTGACTAGTTTAAAGTCTTACAAACTATCTGAGAAAAAGTGGACCAAAAAAAGGCTCAAACTAATAAGTAGACGTTGCTTCCAAACTTAGCTAATAAAATGCTACTTTTTCCAATATTTTTCATTTTCTTCTAATTTGACTTAAGCTCTGCCTTTCTCATAGATCAATGTACTGTTTTCACTTGAGGGATTCATTTTTAAATTCTTGTGCTTTCCAAAAAATTGCTTTCATCTCCTCCATACTTCTAAATCACTAGCTGAAATAAATGGTGTCAGGGTCCGTTGAAATCAGGCGAAAAGCAAGACACGCGGCATAACCCAGTGACTTATACTCTAGAGAGAAACCTTGCCATGGGTCGGTAGCCCGAAGTGACCTTGTTCCCACCATTTGTCCCCTCTGCGTTCCTCCTTGACACAGAAAAGATTGATATGTTGCAACGAAGCATTTCTTCCTGGTTGGGACCCAGAAGCAGCATTCCCTAGGATTCATTTTCAGTCCCAAAACATGTATTGAGCCAGTCTAATATAAATCTGAATTCATGGCTGGAAACAGATCAATTTGTTCGCCAGTTCTCAGATACTGAAAAGGTTTTGTCATGGCTAGTCAGGACCTGTTTACTCTAGAATGATCTTGAAAACTCCATCTTCCTTTGAAATGTCCTGGTTTGGAGGACTCCTGAATGATCCAGAAGGTCCCCAGACTGATCTAACATTTAGATTCCACTTTACTGCTGATCTGGGGATTGTCGTAAAGCAAGTCTAATCCTCAGGCAAAAATTTCCCGTAATCGCACCCACTCATTGCTGTTGTACTCTGGTTTTTGTTCTGTTTTGTTCTGGTTTTTAAGAATTATTTTATTGGGACCAGTGGTTAGCGTAATGGCTATGTCACTGGACTCCCATGTAGTCGACCGTGGTTCGCATCCCGGACCCGGTGGCTTAAAACTCACGCCTGGCGGCGTGTGTGCGTGCGTGCCCAAGATCCCAAGAGGAGAATGGAGGAGAGGGGATTGCGGTGTGGCCATCCCCCCTGGGGAGTGATTTCTCCCTTTCTGTCTCTCTGTCTCTCTCTCTGTCTGTCTGGAGAGTGCACGCGCCCTATAGCAAAAACCTCTCAAAGAAATAAAAAGAATTATTTTATTTAACTTTATTTATTTATTTTAATTTGACCAGAGAGGGACGGAGGGGCGGGGGTTGAAGTGAGAAAGCAAGCCACCAGGTCTGGACTCGAACCACGGTTGCCCATGTGGAACTCTAGTGCCCTTAACCACCATACCACCTGCTGACCCCTGTATTCTGGGTTTTTAACAGTTTCTAGAACAGAATGAGGATGCATATTTTGGCTTTGCCATTTAGAAGCCCAGTAATCAGTTATACATACTATCCATAGCCTTGACAACCGTCTTGCTGGGTAATTATTATTATTCCCATCTTACAGAGTGATATTTCTTTATTTTTTAAAGAATTATTTCATTTTATTTATTTTTATTTTTATTATTTATTATTATTATTATTTGACCAAGGAGAGACAGAGAGAAAGAGAGGGAAAGTGAGAAAGCAAGCCACCGGTCCATGATTCAAACTGTGGTCGGCCATGTGGGAGTCCAGCACCTTAATCACCACACCACCTGCTGACCCCTACAGAGTGATATTTCTAATATGCGTGAAGTTGCTCCCCTGCACAATATCCATTAGTGGCTCCTCAAAGATTTTTGGATAACGTCCCAACTTTTCACGACAAGAATGATTTATTTATAGGGCACGTGCGCTTGCCAGAGAGAGAGAGAGAGACACCCCTCAGGAAGTGAGAAGGTAGTGAGAAATCACCCCCCAGGAGGAATGGCCACACCGCAATCCATTCTCCTTTAGGGATTTTGAGTACACATGTACACACCTGGGGCGATTTTCAGGCTTCCAAGTCCAGGACTCAAACCGTGCGGTCAGCCATATGGAATCCAGTGCCTTAACCTCCACACCACCTGCTTGCTTGCCCAGCAGTGTCTCAATTTTCCCTGGCTATTTCTCGCCACCCAGCCTCTACTAGCTGGCTCTACCCAGCTAAAATGTCCTCCACATTCCTTGTTTCGTCCATCTATACCCTTCGTGGCTCTGTTTAGTCAGTCACCACCTCCAAGTGTTCTTGATCTTCAAGAGTTAATAACATCCCCCTCCTGTGGGCTTTCATAAGATATGTCTCTTATCACACTTAGATTATATGGTACTTTTCTTTCTTTCTTTTAAGAGAGAGATTTTTGCGATAGGGCACGTGCGCTCGCTGGAGAGACAAAGAGACAGAAAGTGAGAAATCACCCCCCAGCGGGGATGGCCACACCGCAATCCCTTCTCCTCCATTCTCTTCTCAGGATCTTGGGCACACACGCACACATGCGCCCAGTATGAGTTTAAGTCACCGGGTCCACGACTCAAACCACGGGTGACAGCATGGTAGTCCAGTTACGTAACCATTACACCAGCTGCTGGTCCCATCCACATGGTACTTTTCTGTCTCCCCCACTAGACAGACAATTTCCTGAAAGGAGAGACGGTTTTTATTTGCCTTTATGTTGCCGGCACTAGCACAGAGTATTTGGCACATGCTGAATGTAAACATTGCTGAATGGGTGTTCTAGGATGTCTATCTTTTTTTTAGAGAGAAAGTTTTTCTATACGGCACATGCGCTCTCCAGAGAGACAGAAAACAAGAACTCACCCTTCAGGGGGATGGCCACACCGCAATCCCTTCCCTTCCAACTCTC